AAATGAACAAACTGTTGATACACAACAACTCAGTGACTCTAGTGATCTGAGTGAAAATGCCCAATTTCAAAATATTACATGTAGTTTATATGTAATATGTATGATTCCATGTATACAAGATTCTCAAAATGACAAAATTATAGAAATGGAGCACAGTTTGGTGGTTGCCGAGGGTTAAGGAAGGGTGGAGCCCAGGGGGATATCAACATGAGAGAGCCTTGTAAATGTCCTGTATCTTGACAGTGTCAATATCCTGATTATGATATTGCACTGTAGTTTTATAAAGTGTTTTATTGGGGAAACTAGGTGAAGAGTATTGGGAATCTCTCTATTATTTCTTATAAATGCATGTAAATCTATGATTATTTCAAAATAAGAGTTTTAATTTCAAAAAAACAGTTTGTAAAAAATAACTGGTGACAAGCTTGAGAAACCCTGATCTAGAAGGAAACTGAGATACACCAAATAAGGAGGTTAAGAAGGACTGTGGCAATGTGGAGAAAAGATTAATGTCAACACTGTCCTTGAGCCCCCAGAATTGAGGTCACTTGAATGAGAAGAGGCTCAAGGAAAATCACAGAATTTGTTATATTTGGATTGATCCCTGAAGAACATCAGGTGTCCTGGAGTAGAAGATAGGAACAAAAGCATCCAGACCAAGCTGAGGATGCACAGAATTTTTGGTTGTGAAGGGTCATCAAAAGTTGTATATCTCAAGGTATACAGTAGACAATGACGAGACAGTTGGAGGCCTCCATCCAGGAGAACCTTTATTTATAAGAGCTGAGTTTCAACCTGCCCCATGTTCTAAGTTATAAATTTAATTGAAGGTTCTATCAGGGATGTACAGTGACTCCTACATACTTGACATAAAGCTTTTGGAGGAGAGAGAGAGAGAGAGAGAGAGCGTGCGCAGCGAGCAACAATCTAACTGGTAGGCCAAATAAACCTCGAAATTCAGCAGTCAGGACTCCTTGACAATTAGGTGGCATTTATGCTTCCATAGGTGATAGACTGTATGTGAGAGACAAAGAAAACAGGAAATGATGAGATTCTGAATTGAATAAATGGAGAATGGAATAGAAAAGATGAGATGGATAATGGAGACATTTTAGAGAGTTTGGAGACTCCCAGACTGGGAAGAGAAGGCTGAGCAAATTCTAAATTTCTAGTCTGTTACTGGAGAAGATGGAGGTGCTACATCTCAAGAGGTCCTTTCCTGAGATAGGCACACGTAAATGATAAATAGATGCAAGGCGAAGGGGGAGATCATGTTTGTTTTGAGACATGTAAGGTATGAGGTGATGCTGGCAGTGTCCAGGAAATAGTTGGTAATTTGTTTCTGTAGCTCAAGAGAAGGAATCAGACTGAAGGTGTGGCATTGGAAGTTTGGTGAGGTCACTTGAATGAGAAGAGGCTCAAAGACAGAAAATGGCAGAATATCAATGTTCAGGTTAGGGAAAGTGTTGGAAGAGAAGAGACCAGAGATGTAGGAGAAAACATAGTGGAAGACAAAACTCTGAGGTCCATCGTGGAGAATTCCACTGAAGAGATTTTACATAGTAGCATTCTGAGCCTTGAAGCCTTGAAGAGATCCTATGTGGTCAGACATGGGAACAGGGCATGGAACTTGACACCAGGAGTAGTAGTCATTGTACAGCGCTACTGTGGCAGATGTGAAGGACTGAGTGAATAGTAAGGAATGGGGGCAGGGACTGCGCAGGCACATGTCACTAGCCCTTTATTTTTCATTTCCTCTCATTAATTTTCTTGCACCTAGAGAATTGTTCTCTAATAATCACTCTAATCATTATATATGTTTGTGAAGAAACCAAAACTAGCAGAGCCACAAAGAATAATTGAGTAGTGAGAAAGGCTTATACAAGACAATTGGACATTTTAAATGTCTCATTTTAATACACATCATTTTATGTATATTTTGTTTAAATATAGTTTTGTTGTTAGAAACAGAATAATGGTGGGTAAATGATAATTTGTAGTTTAGCTTTGGATCTTTTTCTAACTTCAAAACTAGATTATTGACTGTGTGTGTGAGTGTGTATTTCATGGAAATTATATTTTCCAATAGTTGATTAGGCTCTCTTTCCCATTTCTGATTTTAGTTGAATGCCTGTGAGTCTCACAGTAAAAGATTTTTGTTTCACAGTCTCTGGGAATAACAAGCAGTTGCAGAATATGAGATTTTAGAGACTGAAACTAACCTGGTAGAAATTCAAATTCATCTTTTATCTTTTAGATAAAAGCCTTTGAAATCCTTTTAGTGTGAAGTTATCAGCAGGCTCGATTCTCATATAACCTCATTACTAACCCAAGGATTATTTAGAATGCATGGAGAACAATGCTCTGTGGCTGAAACTGGCTTTTATCACTACCACAGTCCAGTGATAAGCCTCATGTGGCCCACCTTGTTCTACTTGAGAAATTCTGCCTGCTGGCCCCAGCACACCTTTGGAGATCACAAGTTTACACCTATATTGAAGGCTCTTATAAACTGCATGCTAAAGAAACCTGTTCAACTTTATTTGAGCATTTCCAAAACTTATTTAACCACAGAACCTCTTCCACATTGACATTTCATAATTCACCTAGAGGTTTTGTTAGATAAGAAGCAGGGTGGATACTTTTGAGGGGTTGATGCTTCAGTACTGAGGTTTGTACTGCTGGAAGTGACAGCAGTGTCCTCAATATAACTTTGTTTTATGGGCTAGACTTGGTGAAACTGAAGAAAAGATTATTATCCAGTGTCATCACTGATCGCCCTTCTCCCCCCAGAATGGTAAGAATTGGCTTCTTAGGTACTTTTCATATTTTCCTGAAAACATATTTCCATCAGCTGTTGCCTCTATTTTCATTCAATGGAATAAGTGCCCCATTAATCAATTAAGACAGCTTGTTATAGACAGAAACGTATGAACAAAAAAGTAGTCATATCAAGTTCACAAATTGTTATTTTAAGAGTTACTTAAAACAAGATAATACACTACTTGGGGGGACAAACCTAATTTCCCAAACTGAATATTTGTAATGATTTACTTATTCTATAAGCCTAGATCTTATCTGCTCAGATTTACATTTGGAGCCATAAAACCTCTGGCAGCTGTTCTTAGTTGTCTGCATGAAGAGGAGACAGGAGATAAGAACATTCCTGATTTTATTAACCATATTTGAAGTTGAAATGGGGGTGGGAAAGATGAACCTATCATGGCCATAAACGTCCATCGAGTCTGATACCAAAGAAGTTAAACAGTCCTATTTTGAAAATGTGGTAAATCTCTCAGGTCACTGGCCACCATTTGTCAAAACCTGCTAGAGTCTTAAAAAAAAAAACAAAAAAACAGAGGAGAGCTGCTGCCTCCTCTTCATTGTAAAAAACCATCATTTCACTGTTGAAATAGTTTAGGGCTTTGGGAGAATCATTACCAGGTGTAAAACTTTAACTATTCGTATGAGCTCCCAGGGTGACACTACTTAACCTAGCTGTAGCCCTGGAGGATCCATGGGATACTGAGCTAGCTCTAGATACCTCAATCTGATTCCAGGGAAAAAGATTCCAGCCGAGGTGCAGTGTGGGGGCAGTATTTGGGGGATGATGTTGGTGCAGGCTCTGCCCAGGCACACCCGCCATAGCACCACCACTGGGGAGATTGCTGCTCTTAGTCTCACTTGATTGGAAGCCATTTGGGATCCCTGTGAGGTGGGGGTGTCTAGAAAGACCATCAAAACCCCTGAGTTTCCATGACTCCCAAAATGTGTCAGTGTGGCCTGTACTAGCTCATTCTCAGGACCTAAAATTCTCGAGCTTTCCTCTTTGGACATTAGAGCTTTGGTTAAAAACTGCCAAAATCATGACAGAATCTGGTGGGGAGAGTTTTTAGTGCCTAATAAATAATATCATAGGAGGTCATAATTTCACATTAGTCACTAAATATCCAAAACATATAAAGCACGCAAAGTTGGGTCCAAGATATGGATGAAAAACAGCTCAGTGACATTTCTTAAGAATTATTCATTTTCTTTCCTAATGTGAAAAGAGAGCAAGAACATTCTCCTAAATCCCAGGCTTAGAAAGCTGAACACTGCCTGAAGGCCTTAAAGAATTACATTGACAAAGCCATTTTTCTTTAGTTTTTAATTACAAATAAAAAATTCCCCAAGGAATTTTGGAAGAAATCTCAAGATTTCAGATTCATGAGACATAAAGGGACCTCTGGAAACTCCCGCCATGGTCTTTATCCATCCTCCTAGAAAGACACTGAAATCCTGCCAGGGAGAAATGAAGGCTCTCAATTGTGGAAAACCTTTATTGTTGGGCCAGTGTTATTCTATAATGCACCCTAGGACCCAGCTATGCACATCAGCAAGAAGTTCTTTCTTTTGGATAAAGTCATTTTTTTTCCAGATAAAATGAATCTATTTTTTAATTGGTCTGCCTTTGTGAATAGCAGATTCCCAAACACACACACACACACACACACAGAGAGAGAGAGAGAGAGAGAGAGAGAGAGAGAGACACCAGCCTCTGCTATAATCTTTTATCTCCTTAAGACCACTGTTACCTGCCTAACTTCTTTTAACCCTGTGTTCTTTGAACTTCCAACCACTTCATCTTCCTGAAAAAATTACTATGACTCTTACCTCTTAAATCAGTCCCCCCAAATGAAAATCATTCCCTAATAATGAAAACCAATATAGTGGCGAATTTATTGAAAGGCATGAGTGATACCACTGTGTCTCGGTTTATGGGGATAACATTGGGCAGAAAGATCAATCTTCTTTGAAGGCTGTTCTCCTACTATGGCACAGTGAATCTCTCCAAGGAGATCTGTGGGATTATTGGACATGAACTCAACACAGTGTACGTCCTATGTGCTGTTAGATCTTTTCAGGAATTAGAGAATTGACATTTCTGTTGTTTTCCTTTTAGGCAGGTTGGGCTAGCATTTTCCATCTCAAGTAAAACGTATTTCCTCTGTCGACAGAGACCAGATACTGCTACACTCAGCACACCATGGAAGTCACAGGAAACAGTATCTCTGTCACCAAACGCTGTGTCCCACTGGAAGAGTGCTTATCCACTGGCTGCAGAGACTCCGAGCATGAAGGCTACAAGGTCTGGGAAATAAAGCAAGTGACCAGTACAGTATAGACAGCCTCCCCCCACATCATACATATGCCTGGGCTCCTGAGCAGATTCTTACTTCCCTATGTAGGCTGCCTTCATATCTATCAAAAGATGCTTCCTTTCCTGTTTGCGCTGAAAGAATACAAATTTATACCAGAGCAGAGACAACTGGTACACGTTGTATAAACACACACCATGAGGGCATTAAACATTATTGTAAATGCGTCCTTCACTCAGAAGAAAGTAATAAAGCTACCAAAAGGAAGAAGAACAAGCACCAGTTATGGCCATCATGGTAAAGCTTTGCAGAGCTACCAGTTCATTCACCATGGACAATTTAGCTTTGATCGTGTCTTGATTGGGATGTCAGTTTGGGGAGGTCTCCATTGGCTTTTAAGTCACTTGATACATGACAAGAGAACCATCTGTGGGTTTTGCTCCCTTTAAACTTCATCTGTAGAGCCGGGCTCGGTGGCTCAGCCTGTAATCCCGCGCCTTTGGGAGGCTGAGGTGAGTGGATTGCCTGAGCCCGCGGGTTCGAGACCCGCCTGGGCAGGCGAGACCTCATCTCTACAATAACTCAAAAAATGAGCCGGGCGTGGTAGCGCACGCCTGTAGTTCCAGCTACTTGGAAGGCTGAGGCGGAAGGATCGCCGGAGCCCAGCAGGTCGAGGCTGCGGTGGCCGGGAGCGGCCACTGCACTCCAGTCTGGGCAACAGAGTGAGACTCCAGCTCAAAATAAATAAATAAATAAAAATAATAAACTTCATCTGTGCCTGTATATAGAAGCACTCAATGTAAAATGAACTTCAGGGCAGCTTGAGGAAGCATGGAGAGAATCAGAGAAAGGCAGCCTGACCCTCCTCCCTCCTGCTGGTAGTTCAAGGTTGCCTGTACATGTAAGCTGAACCTATCAGACCTTGACCTTTATTTAGCATCTGCCACTTCTGTGAAGCTGCCTTCATGGTGGTTTGGGGCAACTCACTCTTGATATGTTGGAAGAGCACATTCATAAGGGTTTATTTTTCTTAAGATTCAGACACCTACTTTTCAAGCAACCTCTCTAATATGCTAATAATTAAATATTAAAATATAATCTGTCTACTTGCTCCTGGTTTGAAATGGATAAAACTAAGGGCTTTCCCTGACCTCTCCAGCAAGCTGGGTTTGGCCCTCAGGCATCACTGTGGCTTCTTTACCGAGGAGAAAGTTAAGGATCAGAGAGGTTATGTCATATGTTCATATCACACTGCTAGTAAGTGACAGGGACCAAATCCAAACTCACTTCTGACCTCCAGTCCCTCTCAACATTATACTGTCTTCCTAGCCCATGTCAACTGTGACCAAAGGCTCAAATCTCTGCAGGATAATGACTATATAACTATCCTAGGACTATGAATCACCTAATGATCTTGTGAAAACGCAGGCTCTGATTCTCTCAGTCTGGGGCAAGGTTTGAAATTCTGTATTCCTTTTTTTTTTTTTTTTTAAGTTGGAGTCCCACTCTGTCGCCCAGGCTGGAGTACAGTGGCATGCTCATGGCCACTGCAGCCTTGACCTGCCGGACTCAGGCAATCCTTCGGCCTCAGCCTTCCAAGTAACTCGAACTACAGGCATGCACCACCATGCCTGCTAATTTTTGATTTATTGTAGAGATGAAGTCTTGCCAAGTTGCCCAGGCTGGTCCTGAACCTGTGGACTCAGGCAATCCTCTCCCCTCGGCCTCCCAAAGTGCTGGGATTATAGGTGTGAGCCACCACACCTGGCCTTGAGATTCTGTATTCTAACAAAATCCCAGATGATGTTGAAGCAGCCAGTCTGTGCTTATGTAGCCATGTCCTAAAATAATGTCACTAACCCTGTGGGTTTATTTCTTTCTTATGTTCCGGGAGTAAAACAGTATAAAACTGGATAAATGAAAACCCTTCAAACTTTACCTCACCCAGTGAGAACAGAGATGATTATGCAGATAGTTCTAATGAAAGTAAATATTCAAGTTTAATTTACCTGGGTTGTTGCCACTGACTCTCTCTGTAACAACTTGGAAAATGAAAGTTTACCCTTTTAACAGTTTCCTCAAGTAGTCAGAAAGAGCCTCTCTGAAAAACAAAAGGACAAGCTTTGTTATCCTCATTTCATAGGCAGAATAACTAAGGCCTAAGAAGGTTGCAAAACTTTGTAAGAACCACATGATGGGAGTCAAAAACAGAACTCTTGAAGTTTAGACTGGAGTTTCATTTTGACCACGTTGCCTCCAGATGAAATATTATCCCCTCCCTTCTTTTTATTTTATTTTGTTTTTAATTTTTATTTTAAAGATGTGGGGTACAATTCAGGGTTAAGTGTACAAATGTTCATTATGCAGGCACCATTGTTGATTAAATGTGCCCCCCCGCCCCGGCAGTTGCCTACTACTGCCAATCCTGACCCTTTCCACTTCCCCACCCCCTCTTCTTAAAAGTAGGCCTGGTCTCTCCTTTGTAGAACAGGTAATTCTCATTTAAGACTTGCCATGAGAGAGACAGTTCCTTCAAAAACCCCAGTCTTCAAAGATCAGCTAGCTTCTCATTACATTTCTTCATCTCTTTCTTTCTTTCAGGTCTGCACTTCCTGTTGTGAAGGAAATATCTGTAACTTGCCACTTCCTCGAAATGAAACTGATGCTACATTTTCCACGACATCACCTATAAATCAGACAAATGGACATCCTCACTGCATGTCAGTGCTCGTGTCCTGCTTGTGGTTGTGGTTAGGACTCACGTTATAGCAGCTCAACAGCGCTGTGTATAGTAGTGACCTATGGGGATCTCAACGGTCCACAGTCATGCATGAGTCATTGGCTTGACAGTAGTTTCACTCTCAGATGTCATCATGGCCAAGCATTGCCACTCATTCACCATGAGCAATAAGCGTTGCTTCAGTGTAGTCATCTCCAGTCTAAACAAGACCCCATCAAAGCCAGTCAAAACCACAAACCTTTGTTTTCACTCCAAGAAATAGTTCTGCATTGATTGAGAGCTGGGGTTCTTCATGCAGAAGAATACATGCATGAGATGCAGGTCCTGAGACCTGCTGAGATGGTAGGGACATGTTACATTGACATGCATAGTTGTATATTTTTCAGGAGAAAGATAAGGAACCGCTGATTTACATATAATCATGAATTCACTTATGCTTTAGAATTTTAAAACTTTGGAAAGTTTTAAAAGCCTTGGAAGTTCTGATCTAGTCCCTGGAGTAGTAACCTAATTTTCCCAGCATTCTATTCCCAGTGCTGGGAATCATATTCCCTCTTCCCTGTGTGGAGGATGATAAGGCAATCCTAAAAGTGTGTTGTATTTGTAGGGGTGGCTGGAGAAGGATTTTCCCCAACTTAATGGAGTTATTGTCCATAACGTGGCTGTTATCCTTTCATATAATTAACTTGGCACCTAATTATGCTTCATGAGACCCTGGAAATGGGTCAATGGTGTCCAAAGAGTCCCAAAGCAGGGTGGGGTTTTCTCCAGATGTGGGGTTCAGTCCAGATGTAAGTCATTTTGACAGAGAGAGGGTTTCCGAATGAAGGTTGGTTCTAGTTCATTTTTTGAGGACCCAATAAATGGTTCAGTCAGCTTCTTCCTCCAAATGTAGTTTCTACTATCAAAGAGCCCTGCACCACCCTCCCAGACCTCCCTCGCCCCCCACCCCCCTACTCCCCACGCCAATCCCCAGTCATTTAAGTCATTTCCTCACTTTAAGGAAAAGGTTCTGCATTAAATTGTCTCTAGATTGACAGGGAAAGAAGGCATAGTATGCCAGGTTGAGAAGGCAGATCAGTGAAATGATTGCCAGACTAGTAAAGAGACCCAATGGGAAGTTTGTTTGTTTGTTTTGGGTTTTTTTTTTTAGATATTGCATTTGAAGTAGATGATAAAATTTTCGCCATCCTTCCTATATTTTTGACACCCCAAGTTACACTTTTTCTTCTTCCTTGTAAATCATTTAAGCAATATTTATTTTTGTATGACATAACTAGAAACTAAAATATATTCTAAAAAAAAAATCTTTATTCTGAGCAAAAGTGATCAAATTAGAATATGTATTTTTCAACAGTGGTAGACCTTGTAATATATGTTTATTGAAAATTATCTATAATACTTGCACCAGTGTTGAAAAAAATTAACATGTTGTGAGCAAGAGCAATGTGTTTGCCTAAGGATCTTTTTCTCCTGGTTTCCTTGGTGATGTTGTCCCAGAAGTATTCAGATGGTGACCATCACTGGATTAAGTTTCTGTGCAGAGTTGTGGGGTGTGTTTGTGTGACCCTTGGTGAAGCTTTGGCTGAAAAAGAGGACAGTGTTGTCAGGGTCCATCTGCCCTGCGCAAGAAAATGTTTCTGGCTCATAAAATGAGAACCCCTCAGGGATTAAATATGAACTGACAGCAGTAACACTGATACAAAAAAAATCTAAATTGCATCAAAAGGCCTTAATTCAGAGTTTGGTAGGCTTATCAATATGTTGCTTATCATTGGGATGAGGAGAGTAGAGGGAGAGAAAGCAAGACATTTATTAAGCACCTCCTTCATGCCAGGCACTATGCTTAGCACTTTACATAAGTTAGGTCGTAAAATCCCCACAAGAATCCTGTAAGGAATATTGTTAGTATTTACACTTCACAAATTAAGGTACTGAAGCTCAAGGAAGCTCAGTAATGTGAAACCTTTTCCTTCAGATTTAGGTTATATGGGATGAGGTAAGACTGAAGAGGAAAGGATGGTTGGAATTACCCCTTAGGAAAGCTTCCAGGCCTGATATCAAGGAATTCAGTCGTCTTATCACATGGGGTTTATCACAGGATACCATTTGCATGTATCCCTAAATGATGATTTTTTTGTGTGGGGTTGGGGAGTGGGGTATGGCTTTCTCATTCATCCCTCTTGCTAAAAGAGGAAACAGTTGATCTTGCATCTAAAGATGCTATAAGACACTGAAAATTTCATGTTGTACATATCAATAAGTACCATTTTTGTGCATGGTTCCACTCCGCTGACATCCTCCAAGTCCTGCATGCGGTTGAATAAGAAACAAGTGACCACACCAAAGCTTCCTTGGCTGGTGTACAGGGATCAGGTCCACAATGATGCAGATTCACCCACCACCCGGAGTTCTTGCAGACTCTGCACAGATGTTGCTGCATGCATCCCATGTGCCTATCAGATAGCTCCTGTTTAATTCCCTTGGAAGAAAATCGCTTGCTCACATCCCTAACTTCAAGGAGCCAAGGAAGGGCCATTCACGTGGAAGGTCCAGGACTGGTCAGTCATCTGACTTTTCTACCACATTAAACTTTCCATTAAATCTCACCATTGGTGATGACTTGAAGTGTAAAGAGCCATGATGTGTATATTAAGCTATGTGCCACATATTTATTTTTAGACTCTCCACGGCATTCATGTCAATACGAGATTAATGCCTAAACTTTGTAAATACTGTACATTTTGTAAATCAATGAATAAAGGGTTTGAGTGTATCCCACCAGGCTCTTCCCTGCAAATGCACATGCCAATCATTAATTCATGCGCCCAGGTTATGTACAAGGCATTGAGTTTAGTACCACAGGGAACTTCCTTCCAGGAACTCACTTTCTAGTTGTACAGACAAGAAATACATGCATGAGAAGATACAAGACAATTCACCTATGCCAAGTGATTCAAACAGACGGTTTAAGTGCTGCGGAAAATAAAAGAAAGAATTCCAGACTTTTCAATCAGGTCTCCAATTTTCCTTGAGCATCTCTTTGTTAAATCAGAAAATATAAAAATAGTATACATTTGTGTATGTGTCTGTATATAAATATACCACCCCCAAGAACTCTTTATTTTTAAACTTATTCTATTTTGGGGTAAGTTATGTTAATGATGATACGCTAGCAAACATTTTTCCTTGAAGGTTTCTTCTGCAACAAGAAACAAATATCGGAGTAGTATATCTGTCATTTTTACCTGTACAATGAATTTATTATTATTTTTTAGTAAAATGATAGACATTGAAAACAAGCTTGAAAAACAGTTTGTTTGTGATTTCTGGTTATTCTTTAATGTCCTATATTTCAAAATTTCTGAAGAAGTCTTTTCCCCAACGTTAGAAGTTTCCTATTAGGTTCTGGATCATTCACACAGTTGGTGCTCCTTAAAGTGTGGCACTATACTTGCATGAAGATAGCTCTTACAGCTACTTCCATGACATGAGAATAGCTCTTGCAGCTACTTCCATGAAGAGCTTTGTGTTTTTAACATAAACAGCACTGCAGGTGGATTATGATTCTAGAAAATTTGATTTTGAAGATGTGGACTTATATGTTTACCAATGAGAGAGTTTTAAAAGAATGCTTCACTTTACAAATGCATCTCATACTCTTTCTTAACACATTTATAAGGTTTTATTTACAAACAAAATTTAGGGCATACAAGGTATGTCAAAGTTAAACATGGTGCCTTGGCTATGCTACAGTATCTTTTATCTGAAATACAATATCTAAAGAGCGGTCACAAATGTTTTTAATAAATTTCCTTTAACTCACCTACCAGGAGTGAAATACGTGAAAATGTCTTGAGAATCTGTTATTCATTGTAACTGGGGGAACTTGACCCTAGAGATTTAGACGTTTTTCTAAGATTGTACAGCAATTTAGAGCAGGACTAAGGCATGAATATGAAGCATCATGATGTTAGCTTGAAGTACTCTCCACTGGAGTCTACTGAAAACAGATCTGTGATTTCTTTTAATATAAAAGTTTCTAGCATAATTTGGTATTATAAAACCAGTGCAGATTTCTAAAATGTCTTTCAAATTAAGCTTTCATTTTCTTTACCTAACGTTTAAAATTATGGCCTCCCTCATTAGCAATTACTATTATCTTGCTATTACCTTTGACAAATTTTAACTCCATTACAGTTGCTAGAATTGGATTATGGGTAGGTGGGGATGAGGGGGACTCTATGTAGCTATATTTTAAACTGGATAGAGACCTGAAATCTAGAAGCTAAGAAATGATTTCTCAGGGGTCCTTCTATTCATTCTCTTAACAGCGACTCTGATCTGTATGAATGATTTTATTTTTAAAACCTTCCTTCCAGTGATCAACATGACCCCAGTTACAGCTTCCATAGCTTAAGCTTTGGAGTGGCTTAGGAAGGTCCCACTGTGGTTTATTTTACAAGGACTTTGATTACTGATCCAGGACTCTTTGTTTCACACACACACTTGTCACCTGGATGACATGCATGATGGCCCCACCCTACTCTGGCACTTTTACTAAAAAGCCATTTCACAGGTCACAATGTTAAGGTGAAGGGGACCTTAGGAAACATCCAGGCCGCCCCCTTTGATGTATGTGGGAAGGAAAAGAACGGCAGAGAACCCAGATCATTTGTCTCTGAGAAGGCCACATTGCTTGTGTTTAAAAAAAAAGATAAAACTCATCAAAATATCTTTTATTTGATGCTCAAAATACTTAAGACATGGGTGATAGGAAACAAGAGGTCTCCTCTTCCTTCCTTTACTCTCACTGTGGCGTTGGCGGCACCACGAGGACCATCACAGTAGGCAAAGGCAGAGAATCAAAGTTAGGGAGGACAAACTTTAGCCAAGAAAACAAGCCAGCCTGATGGAAACATAGTGTTCATTCTAACTTGAGATCAAAAACATTCTGAGAAAATAATCATTTTCAGAATCATGGCTTTAAAAAGCAGGATGATCTGTCTAAGTTTGAGATTGTCAGTTATTCAGAAGCAGTTTTCTCAGGGATTTACAGCATGTCCAGTGTCAACTGACACCCTAAATCTATATGTTTTCCTTGTACCCTGAGATCAGGTCTCCACTGACATCCCCCTGGGGAGGTGACAGGGAATGTGTTGTCAAAATGGAGAAAGTGTGTCTTAAAAGCAACTAGGTTAGCCGGGCTGGGTGGTTCAGCC